GAGTTGAGGCCCTTTCAATTGTTGGTCTTGAATTGGCAAAGCGAAATGAAGCGGCAAGCAAAGCAACCTATGACATAGTGAAAGCATAACAGTCGCGCGCGTAGTGCAAAATATTTTTTCTAATTTGTGTCAATTCAGCATGGATTCATCCGATGAGGAATATTTCGCTTCCTCAAGCACGATTAATTTCGTAATAAACAACAAAAGAGAGTTTGTAGTTCACCCGATCAATCGAAATAGAAGGCGAGATGAGGAGTTCTTCAAGTGCACCCCACACGACAAAAGTTTTGTCAATGTTTCCAACAATAATTTCATGTCAATATTTTCTACAATATTTTCTGGGGTTCATCAATACAGGGTCGCTCCTCACTAACATTTATGTATCCGATGGAATATTGCGAGTCAAATCACAACCACCTTGACAAAAGTTGCCAAGAAACAGGCACCATCTGCTGCTGTAGTCAAACAGAAGGAGAAAATGAGGGGAAATATTGAAACATGAAATCAAACTTTTCTAATTTTACGTCAATATGTTCATCAATATTTTCGTCGTCAATATTTGTATCAATATGATTGTCAATACTTTTGAGTATTGACAATATTTTTGCACGTGTGGTGCTTGCTTAAGATTGTACGAAGATCTTCGTAAATATCCAGAGAAGTTTCGGTCTTACACAAGAATGGATATGGACACATTCGATCTGATTTTGAATCTAGTGACAAACAAGATTATCAGTCCACTTGCGTTCGCAGGCGTCAAAACACAACACGAACAGCTTTGTCGCTTTGCTGAACGCTGCACACCTCTTCGCAACGCTTTCACTATAATAGGTTTGGGCGATTCCCATAGAACGCTCATAGAGGGAGCTTTCACGCAAGCGCTTAGCTTATTGCCTAAGAGGAAGGGGTGACAATTGGCTTCTTCCTCTTTTATTTCTATCTCTATGTTTATCTATCTCTATCTCTATCTTACGCACATGAAATCGGCCAATCAGGAGCTGGTTCACGTTTGACAGAGAAGTGAGAATTTTCGCCCCCGTATTGCCACCTCTTCTCTTAGCTTATTGCCAACGCATCGAATTGCTTCGAATCGCTTCTACTATGTTGTCGGCCTCAGTCTGGGTCCAGACCAACAATTGAAATAGGCGGAACAACGAAACGTAAACAATGGCTTTAAACGCAAATTCCTCGAGAATCAAACCACTCCCACGCAAGCTAACCATGCCATTCAATAGAGGAAGTTTGCTCTATCAGATGGTGGTGTTAGATTGCTTCGATGTGTTTTGATTATCGAGGAATTTGCGTTTAAATCCATTGTTTACGATTGGTTGTTCCGTCTATTTCAATTGTTAGTCTAGATAATATAATCTAGGCATCACTAAAGAGCCTAAATTTATAAAGAGGCGACATGTCAAAATTGGAACAATCGATTGTCTGTCAAAGTCATAGGAAAAGGCATTCCAATCGAGCAGAAGACCTGTCAAATGGATAAGATGTCGTCTCTTTATAAATTCAGGCTCTTTAGGCATCACCAGACTGACTGTGTACCATAGTGGAAGAGACAAAAACGATCTGATCTTGAATTCTGCTCTTGCCTGGCTCGAGCTCGGAGCGACGTTCAACGATGGATGCGATTCGGCTAGTAGTAGTAGTAATTACGATCGTGATGCTGATGGTAGTGGTGATGCTTCGTGAAGGTACTGATGGTGGTGCTATTACTGATGTTGTCAGTGGTTGTTGTTGGTACACGTGTTCGAGTGGTATTTACTGTCTTGAGGCCGTCGAAAAAACGGAACGCACCGGTAATTGGCTTCCGGAGACGATTCCTGGGAGTTTTTAATGGGAAATCTAACTTGACAAAGAGAATTACATTGAATTAAACAATCACCATCTTAGCGTATCATGATCGAACTCACTTCGGAAATTCTTGTTTCCGTACACTGGGCCTAATCTTATTATTCACAATTTTTAATAGAATTTTCCAAGTTCTGTAACGGTAGATTGGTTAAATCAAACAGCTAACAACTCTTCCTCGATATAATGTTTTTTTTTTCAACTTGGGACTACGTCCGCTTGGTTTGCTGTCTGACTCGGAAAAAGGCTCTATTGATTGGGGTTTTACTTCTGCTGAGTCATCTTACAATAGAATCGACGCGAGTTCCCTTATCATTTCAACAGTCTAAATTCTGGGTCTCTTCACTTAACATGAGTGTCCTTCAAGAAATGCATTTTGATGGGCCTGTATAGTGGTACTTGCATTGACCACCAGAGGCGCTACCGATTCAAAAAGGTGCTCGAATATTGCTGCTTCGTTTCCAAGTCGATTTGAATCGATCTTTTCGATGTGAAAAGAGAGTCATTCAAAAATTAAAATCAGAAAAATCGTTTCAATGAAGTGGCTCATAACCTTGCAATTGAAAAGCTAAATCGCCTAGAACTCCCCACCTGGATCATCCAATGTTGCTGAAATCGTATATATCATTTTGTGAAGCTTCCGTCGAGGTTCATTATTGAAGATCCAATATCTTTTACATTCCTTCTGGAGTTCCCCAACGCAGCACCCAGCCATGTCGTACAGTTATTACGTTTCCTCACATCTATTTACGAAAAGAACTGCAAATTCAATTTGGCATTCATATTTCGTTCTATTTTAACGCCCACCCACATCGTATGATAATGACTGCGCTTCTCTCTAACTACCCTGTCCTAATGCTTGCTAGCCTTTCTTCATATGCTTTGAATTTTGTAACCGGTCTTAATTGCTAATTGAACGCTGTGTTTTGCCCGCTCGGTTTCGTCATCTAGGGTATTTTGGGGAGATTCCATCACCTGCTCGACAGTTTGCTCACACCGTCACCTAGTTTTCTTGCTCAAGCACAGTCAATTAGAGCCACAAATTATCGCTATTACTCGCTCCTCTCTCCGACAATTAGTTCGTTCTTCGATCTGCAGGGGTCGTTTACCGAATTTGTTAGCTCGTTTTCCATCATCTGAATTGCCCTTCGCTTCCTCAAACAAGCAGATCTGAGATAATCGTGTCCTTTGAATAGCAGCAATTTTTGCCGGATGGAGATTTGGGAGTTATCGTAGATAGCAAGCCACCGACAAACCTACATGAATGACCATAGAAATTACCATGAAATTTCTGCTCAAAGCGCAGTATTGACATCTGTTTTCGTGTTCGCGGAGAACGTTTATCTAAGCCACGAACACGCGTGGAAAAATAATGAGTTGGTTCGTGTCTGATCTATTCTGGATAATTTATTTTTATCTAACGGGTGTCCACTAAAAAATGAGAATGATTCAAATACTTTTCTAACAACAAAAACGTTCGCAGATTAATGTCGCCTTAGGTGGAGAATCCCTACAACCTCCAGAAAATTGTCATACACTTTATTTCACTCTAATGAAGATCGTGGAAAAAAGTACACGGTGGACCATTTTAAGAGGGAAAATGTTCCGGTATTCACCGTATACTGTATCCTGGCATCCATGGCAGTAACTCGGAAGAGAGGTAGCGGCCGTCGAACGAATATAATGAATAAGAAGACTCTCCGCTCGCTGGACAACATTTTCAACAACAAGGATTCGGTAAGTCAACTCCCGTTGACGCGGCCAGAAAGTTCCGTTGTTCGAAGTCACACATCTGCAAGACGCTAAGGAAGGAGGGAATAGTGTGTAGAAAGAAAACCAGATCCCCATAGAGTATACTGAAGAGCAAATCCAAATCGAGAGATCCTAATGCCGCTGGATGACCCACCAATATACCACATGTGCCAAAAGACCGGAATCCGACAAATCTGCCGCAGTGCCGTCCTATCGAGGATTTTTTCGGTCTATTGAGCTTCAGGACACCAAGCAACTCACCAACAGGATCAAAAGCTGCATCCGGAAAATCGATGTTGCAGCCGTCCAACGGTCATGTTCCAATATCATGAATAAGCTGCGACCACGGCCCGTATGCCAATATTCACGAAGCTCAGTTTCAAGACTTATGTTAACCAGTTTGAACTAAACTTCACTGGTTGTTTTTTTCTGACCCATTCTTACCATTCTCATTTTTTGTGGACACCCGTTAGATAAAAAAAAATATGGATTTGAACCTGCATGTTTTGGGTTTTTGGGGAAAAAATTAAGTTTAAGATTCAGGTCGGTTTGTCGATGAGATAACTACGTTTCAATGAGTGCTTGGTTTCCATGGCCCATTTTGACTGAAGTCACTGTATTGCTCGGTAGTTTGTTGTTGCTATGAAATAAACAGTGCAGATTTGGTATCCGTAAGGAGCCTTCCTTAGCTCAGTCGATAAGGCTGGGTTCAATTCCCAGTTCGCTCTAGGAATTTTTCGGGTTGAAAAACTTCTCGACTTCCCTTGACAGGTATCGAAAGCACTCAATTAATAACTTGAGAGCACGCAATAAGCTAATATGTGATAAGCAAGAAGAAGAAGAAGATCAAGCCGTCCACACGTAAGGATTCAAAAACGCTTTGCCAGATAATTACCTACGTCGCCTTAAGTAGAATAACCTCGTCAATCTTCCTCCTTACAAGCAATTAAATGACAGTAGCGTTCATAGCCAAATATGCGCATGAGTATTAACCATTTAATTCGAGCAGTTAAAAATGACGTTTCCTACCACTCGAACTTTGAAATAACACAATATTTTGAGAGTTTTTCTTCTAGAACCACGAGAAAAGTAGCCAAAAGTAGTGCGTTTCATAGTCAAATAGTCATTTGTTGGCCCTATTTTGTGAAATCGCTGGTAGAAAGTCACGGTAAAACTGCTTGACAAAGTGGTCAATTCTTAGTCATTGTACCAGAATATTCCTGCTGTATGGTCTGGAATTAATATTAGCAAACAATTGTATAATAATGTTATGTTTTTAAGCAGTCTGTTAGGACCTACAAGTCGTATCGAGTCCCGAAACTAAGTTCTTAGTCCTAAGTGTTCTAAGCCAAAAAAAAACTGATCCTAACCTATCTTCTCTTCCCTCCCACCAGACGTCTGGAGCGCGGGATGCGTACTGGCCGAACTGCTACTGGGACAACCCATCTTCCCCGGCGACTCCGGCGTCGACCAGTTGGTAGAAATCATCAAAGTCCTCGGAACACCAACCCGGGAACAGATCAAGGAAATGAACCCCAACTATACGGAATTCAAATTCCCCCAGATCAAGAGTCATCCATGGCAGAAGGTAAGTACTTCCCGGGTCCGCGCTCGCTCAAGGAAAGCTACTATCAGAACAAAACTATCTACAGCACCGTTCACACACGTACTATTTTCCATCCTAGTTTCTCTTGCCCCTCCCCTGTAGTATTTTTTTTGCCTTAGTTCTTCCGTCCCATCACCCACCAGAAAACCCGTCCACCAAGCACAAAAAGAAACATTCACTCTCACCTACCGAAACACACCCATTAGTAAAGCCACAATTAAAAAAAAAAATCAGTCTCAACATTCTCTCAGTGTGGATTCGCTTCGACTCATTTCAGTTAATGCTAGAGCGAATGTCTTTCCCTAATGCCACGACCGAGCATCAACGTATTAGAGTAAGAGAGCCAACCATCGGCACCTACCAGTAGTGTAGTAGTGCAAAATCGCATCTCCCTATGATTATGAATCCCATAAAGCAAAACCCAAAATGAACCAAGAAATCCAAGTCTAAGAATTTTGGTGACGACTACTGACACACATCTACTAGCAGCGAACGGATTTGTCCTTTTTTATTCTACTGTTCTTGACTCAGAATTGCTAACTCTTGTAGGGTATTTTTTACCTCTGGTACTAAAAAAAAAAACGACCACAGACACACCTGCACACAACACGGCATAGCAAACTCGGAGTAAAACGTCTCTCGAGACAAGGCAAGAACGAATGGGTACAATTTTGCAATGATATTCCAAAAGTTTTCAAACTGTCCCGAGTTGACCTACTTTCAAACGGCCTTCAACCTACTACCCCGTTTATCTTCTCTTCATCATCGCCAATGATTATAAAATTATTCGTCTTGCTCAGGAACTTTTACGAGGGATCTCGTTTCATATTCGGACGTGCAATGTTCTCAGTTCTCAAAAAATCAGTGCAAGTGCTGAAGTTATATCCATCCTCATGTGGAAGTTTTGGGCTGCTGCAGTGTGTACTAATCGAAAAAGTTAGACAGCAGGAAATTGTGTCCATTAAGTTGCTGCCATGGTTCACCTAGCTAGCCACCCAGATAGGTTGTCTTCTCGTCTCTAAAACCGAATTACCACTTTCGAAACGAAGAAGGTGTGATCGATGATATGAGTGTGTGTGAATTTCATAGCTTCAATAGCATATCATCGAAGACAACATTTCAAGGAGACTGGCAACTCTGTCAAAATTTAAGAGACAAATACAGTAGCGCTTCTCTTGAGCAAAGGTAGGGTAAACAGGTATAATACGCTCCTCTTAAGGAAAATCAGTTATATTTTTTACTGTTTTCACTTTAATTAACGGAATAATCACGTATAGCCGTTGCTTTGGAAATTAGAAATAATTCGTAATCTTTTACATAGTTGGAGATGCTTAACGTCAAATATCAGATTTAAAGTGGTCATTTTATACGATAGATGAGGAGAAAAGTATAGAGTTGATAGTTCCGTTAGAGTGCGGCAGTGTAAAAATTGTATACAGAGAGTAGGATGCGAGCAAAGGTCAATTTTGAGGAAGCCACGAATCGGATTAATCATATCCTTTACCAAACTCCCCTGTTGGGGAAGGATGATGTGGGGTATCTCCTTTCGCCACCACTGGCAAAAGAGATGATCGCCGATTTGCTCACGTACCTTCGATGTGCGGCAGCAATTCTATCGACTCAAGTCCTCATCTGACGTAAGCACCTAGTCGATAGGTTTGGAAATTGCAGCTATTGTGGCCTCTACTGCTGTATGTGCTCCTGTCATCGTTAACTTAACGATCTCGAGGAGACACGGGTAGGGAAGGTGCTGGGAGCTTACCATCAATCATACTGTCATTGGTCGAAAGGTACAGTAGCAGCACCTCCCCTACCCTTGTCTCCTCGAGATGTTGTTATCCCAGCGGCGACCTCACCGACGACGACAACAACTGCTCTTGTGATGGATTTGATTTGGATTTCCAATCTACACGTCTTTCCTAAAACTCAAATATTACGTCTTTTACGTACGCTTTACATCATAGGAGAAATGGCTCTAATGCTCGCTAATAATCTGCTATTTATCAATTTTATCTAGATGAACGCGTCATTGGGACGGCACTAATGGATATGTTTGGTTGCTATTGAAAATTTAGACGATTGCTGAATTTATGTATGGGCCCAAATTAGGGGCATTTAGGCCGACATTACATCCATTTGCCCTATTATGAAAGAAAGCCGATTTAAAGTATAACTCTGTAATGTAAAGGAGCTTGGGAATGAACCCATGATTTTCTGCTCAGTAAGCAAAATTGGTCACCACAAGGCCACCGAGCTGCTTATTTCACAAACAATTACGATCAAGTTCCTGCCTGGGGGTGCGACACATCTAAATCTCAAATTTAGATGGTCGGAAAATCTCACGTTAGCGAATCAATCTACGAAAAATCTTGTTTCAACTCTTGTATCTTAATCGATCTACTCACATCGCTCTCCAACTATTTGAAGGAAATCTTAAAAATCTTCATCAATCTTCGTTCTATCACTAAGCTTGGGCGCAGCAAAGCAAAAATTTTCCTGCATCTTAGTTAGAGTCGCACCCTTCGGTTCCTGCTCTTGAGAAGGATTTGTTATAGATTTCCAATCGACACATCTTTCCTTAAACCCGAAAATTATTTATTTTACGTACTCGTTCCTCCAACCGAATTTCAATACGCTTTAAGTCATATTAAGAATAAATCCGATTATGTGAAGCAGCTTCAGATTGAACCCATAATGTTCTGCTCAGTAAGCAAAATCGGTCGCCACTAGCCCAGCGAGCTATTTATATCGGCGACGACTTCACCTATCACTGGGAATTCCGGGGAAAACTTTGAAATTCCGGGAAAACCCCGGCAATTCAATGGCACCATCAGGAAAATTTTGCTCGAAGAACCGATATCTTTACTTTTACCGCTTCTGTAATATGGAATGATAGCAACACTTTCGTCTAGTTGTTTCTATAATTCGTTCACTTTTCAATGAAACACAGACTGACAAACTTTGTCATTTTTCAAACTGCTGTTAATCTCCCGACAGATTCTGTCAGGTTGCTCTGGAATTTTCTTCTAATCTTCCAAAAAAAAAAGTTCGACTTCACTGGTGCTTACCTACCCTCCGAAAAGCTTCCACTGTACTTTATTGATAGTTCTTAATTCAGAGTAATTTTCCCGGGAATGGTTCGATGTGGTCTATTTTTTGTGAATATGTTTATTGAGCACGTATTTTTTAAATGTTTCCCAGGCCCCATCTAAATAGTTTCAATTGAATTGGGAAACGTGTTTTTCGGTGAAATTAGCGAAAAGTGTTTCCCACATCAACTCATTTTCTCAAACACGTGTAAATAAGCATACTTGGAAATGATTTTTGAATCGTTGTCTTTTCGTAAATTGATGAGTGCCAAGTTATTTACAGATGCAGATTTTAAGTTTTTTGCATACCGGGAAAATAATCTCGTATATGTATACCGGGCAAACCGGGAAAACCCGAGAATTAAAAAAAGGCTAACGGGTGGCGGCTCTAATTTCCGCTAAATTGCGAGTTCTTATGAAAAAACAAAAACTGAGAAATTTATGGTAGTCTAGAGTACTTTAAGGAAATTCAGAAATCTTTTGGGCAGTTTTAATAACATCAGTAAAGTCTAGACTATTGACGAAGTTATCCAATAAGTGTCGATAATTTGGGCATTCCATGAACTTGAGAAAAATCTTGAGAAATTCTGTGAAAATCATAGAACTGCATTAATTATTTCGTTTTGATTCCAAGAAAATTGTGGGAGAATAAAGAAATTCTAAAAATTTCAGAAATCTTCGAAAACTTCACAGAAGTGTAGAGATCTTCTGAAACATTTCGAGAACTTCATAGAAGTGTATGGAACTTAAGGGTGGATCCGAGTACTCCAGGAACTTTCATGAACATTAGCTAACTGCGGGAGAAAAACTTCTAGTAAGTAAGCTCCACAAATAGGGAGAATTTCAGAGGTAGTTCAGTTCCATTAGTTTTTGCAAATTATCGGGAAACCTTAAGTAATTCCCATATTTTCAGATAATTTAAGAGATACTAAGACAATTATTGAGGTATTCACATAAGTTGAGAAGTCCACGAAAGCTTAAATATTTTTAGGACAGTTCAATTAAATTCAGGGCAGTACAACCAGCTTCATGAGAACTGCAAACACTTAAGAGAAGTTTCGTGAGAATTTAGGAAATAATAGAGAACCTCAGAGCAGTTCTGTTAACATTAGATAAATGACATACATTTCAAAGAAGTTTCGAGAACTTCAGCGAATTTTTAATGCTTTAAAGAAGATTCATGATGGAGGAGGAGAAAATTTGAGGAAGGAAGTTTACAAATTTGATTATTGTCAGCATCAGGCTAGTTTATCAAACTATAAAAGAACTTCAAGGCAGTTTCATTAACTTCAAGTAGTTATGGACGCCTCAGATTAGCGGTGGGTACGCACTTTCAGGTATGAGTGCGCGATATTTAAAATAAATCGTTGTGATTTAAATACTTTGTCGACAGTAATAAATACTTTTAGCGGTATTGAAAGAAGTCAATAAGCGGCGCCGGTGGTGTAGTGGTAAGCGTGATTACCTCTCACCCCAGAAGGCCTGGGTTCAATCCCAGTCGGCGCCGCCGGGATGTTCTGATGCATAACATCTCTGATAACGCCTTCCTTCGGAAGGGAAGTAAAGCCGTTGGTCCCCGATTCATGAGTTGATGGGTCGATAGGTAGGGTCCAGGTGTGGGAGCTGCCTCTCTGGCTTCGGTAGCATTGGTGCTCAGCACGGAAAACAAATCAAGGAAAAAAATTAATAAATAATTAATGATAACTAATGTAATGCGTATTATTGAAAGACTAATGCGTGCTCCTCGCATAATAGTCCATTCCATATTCAATGGATATTTCTCATGGAAATTCGCTTGGAGATCGTACTCAGTTTTCGTTTTGTATCCTCCCGCAACTCTCATGGAATTATTCTAGAAATTCACTTGCAACAGAGTTGGGAGGAGATGCTATA